ACCACTGACCTGCCCTGACTTCCAAGACCCCTTTTCCTTGACTGAGAAGCCTCCAGCTGAGTTTTGTCTGTCCCCAGATGGCAACTCAGAGGCCATTTCCATTGACCTGCTTCAGAAAAAAGGTGAATGTTGCCCCCAGCTCAGGCCAGGAATTCTGTTGTCGGTGACTATTTGTGCCTGTTGCCCTACTGTCTAGCCCTCCAGAACATTTCCCTATCCTAGAACTCCAAGTGCTAGGAGGGAATCAGCACAGGAATTGGGGCACGAGGTAGCAGTCTGTGCATCGTGTAGGACGAGTGTGCCTGAATGCACAAGGGTCGTTTTTCAGATGCTTAAGAATCAGGCTTCGGTCTCTTACCTCAGGGAGCTAAGTAGAGTGAGGGAGACTGCCATGCCATACATAAATGGTCGTGTGTTCTAATGGGGGGAGTCCAAGTACAACAGGACCTAACAGCTTGGGTAAGCATGATGGTAACATCTACTAAGATGTTGAGCAAATAAGGGACCACTGGACCAAGAGAAAGCTGTTTCAGGGAGATGTTGGGGACAGAGTTGAGCATCATTGTGGGCTGAAGGGAAGGAGCTGTGGGGAGGGAGAAAGATGAAGCTGAAGTTCCCTGTAGAGGCAGAGTGGGGGGTTCAAAGCTGGGAAAAGGGAAGAACCTTGAGCAAGATGGAAAGAGAGTGAGGGGGCGGGAAGGAGGGTAGACAGAATGTAGTTACGTCTTTTGGATAGACAGGGAAGTTGAATTGATGACCAGTGGCCTCTGTTCTCTGGGTGAGGTCGAACCAAGGGCTTGAGAAGAGAGGTAAAGATTTGGCAACGTGAGAGCATAGCAGAGGGCACCTGAAGGCACATGTCAAAGAGGTGCCCTTGTTGGTCACTGTTGTGAGTGGCCCTGGACTTTGTCCAGCAGTCAGTAGCCTGGTTTCTCAGAGCGGAGAAGATGGGTAGTTAGCCCGATCCAGGACTGGAGTAAGAGGGTCTTGAAGATAAAATCGCTGAGATGGGTCCACTGGTGGTGACAACAGTACAGGCCTTGAGAACTGGGCGAAAACAGGAAGGGGTCAGAGACTGGTCCTCGGTAAGACTGAGACCCATGTGCGGGGACAGAAAGTGGACGTCCCTCCCTCTCTCCACTGAGGGCTCAGTTTCAGCTGAGTTGCCCAGGGACTTGCTAAGGAACCCATCACATGGAATTCTTACTTGCAGGGCTGGTGAAGGCGGTTAACACTGCCGTGGACCTCATTGTGGCCCATTTTGGCACAAGCCGGGATCCTGGGGTGAAGGTAGGCAAAACACTGGGGCCAGCTGAACTCTACCCTGCTGACCCTCACCCATTCTATGCTGCCACCTTCTCCTGCCCTCTTGCACCTAGAACCCAGAACTGGGTACTTCGGGATGGGGATCACAAGAGAAGCATGCTAAGGCCTAAGAGAGTCAGAGAAGACCAAGGTCGGGCTTCCAGTGATTCCCTGTTCTTCTCTACTGCGTCCACAGGCAAAGCTCGGGAATAGTTCTGTGAGCCCCAATGTGGGCCACCTGGTTCTGAAGTACTTGTGCCCCGCAGTCCAGGCTGTGCTGGAGGATGGGCTCAAGGCCTTCGTGCTAGATGTCATCATTGGGCAACGTAAGAACATGCCGTGGAGTGTGGTTGAGGCTTCTACACAGCTAGGTAAGTGCTGGGCAGCAAGATGAGGACCCCAGGCTGAGACCCGGATTCAGGAGACTGGGCATGTGACTGCTAACTCTGGCTTCCTCTCAGGCCCGTCCACCAAGGTCCTGCACGGCCTCTACAACAAGGTCAGCCAGTTCCCGGAGCTCACCAGTCACACCATGCGTTTCAACGCCTTCATTCTCGGCCTGCTCAAGTGAGTGTGTGGGGCCACAAGAGCGGCAAATCACAGCCCTCTCCCCCGGGCTCTGCCACTTCTGTGGAACCGACTCCCTAGACTGAGACAGGCCGAGGGGGATCTGCAGGCTCTGTGGCCAGGGCCCAGACTCACTTTCTCCCCATCTAGTTATAGCTCTCTCAGTAGGTCTCTGGTTTCCCACCACACCCACAACCCTCTGGCACTGATCACCAACATGGTCTTTGGCTTTTATAAATCCATAATCTGGCTTATTTGGAAATTAATCTGGTTCTCTGGATATTGTAAACCTTGATCCCCTCAATTCCAGCACTACTTCCAAATCCTGCCTGACCATAAGTCCCCCCTTGAGATCCACATCATAGTATCCTTCTTTCTCAAGTATGGGCCCGGGCCATCCCCTTTGAGATGTGTACCCTGTACGCTCACTCAGTAGCTGCCATGACTTCTGGGGGCCTAGGCAAGCCAACTCCATTCTAGAGGGAAGTCATTGGCTTGTGAATCACATGTTAACCCCCTCCCATCATCCCCCACTGACTTTCCAGAACTATTTTACATGAAACGAACCAGGTAGTATCCCTGCCATAGAAGGGAGATGTTCACCCATACTTCTGCCCTCTGTCTGACCCCCTGTCTGTCTCCTTTATACCTTATCATCTGGCTATCTCCACACAAGATTCAACTCTCTCTACCTGTTTCCCTACAGCATCCGGTCCCTGGAGTTCTGGTTTAATCACCTCTATAACCACGAAGGTAATGCCCGGAACACTACTCTCTCTTGCAAACTCAATATAGGCCAGACCTCAGAGGCTCAGAAGAGGGAAGCACGGCTCTTTACAGATGGTAGAGGTGGAGAGGGGGACCGCCCAAGCTTTCGTCTTCAGAGCCTGGGCTTCCAGCCCAGTCTGTCCCCAGCTTCTACTTGTGTTAGAGCCTTGGAGCCAGCAGGATACTCGGGCAATCTGGAAGTGAGGGTGACCAGGAACCCCCACAGCTCTCCTGTGAACTTGGGGCTGCCACTTAACGGCTGCAGAGGTCACGACCTGCACAAGCGTCAGGCGGCCTCTTTGGCACTGGCGTGCACCCAAAGGCACAGTGCCCCGCCTGTGCGGCAGTACGCAGCGGCTCTGCCAGGGCCACTTCTCGGAGGCCCCCCACCCCCAGGCCGGGCTCTGCTTCTCTGTGGGGCTCAGGCCCTCTCTCTTGCTCCCCCAGATATCATCCAGACCCACTACCAGCCGTGGGGCTTCCTGAGTGCAGCGCATACCGTGTGCCCCGGCCTCTTTGAGGAGCTGCTGCTGCTGCTGCAGCCCCTGGCCCTGCTGCCCTTCAGCCTCGATTTGCTGTTCCAGCACCGGCTCCTGCAAAGTGGGCAGCAGCAGCGGCAGCACAAGGAGCTGCTGCGGGTGTCCCAGGACCTGCTGCTGTCTGCCCACTCGACGCTGCAGCTGGCCCGGGCCAGGGGCCAGGAGGGGCCTGGAGACATGGACAGGGCGGTCCAGGGGGAACGGGTGAAGGGTGTGGGCGCCCCCGAAGGTGGAGAAGATGAGGAGGAAGAGGAGACAGAAGAGGTGGCAGAGGCAGCTGGGGGCTCAGGGCGTGGCAGGTGGGCCCGAGGCGGGCAGGCTGGCTGGTGGTACCAACTCATGCAGAGCTCCCAGGTCTACATCGATGGCTCAGCTGAGGGCTCTAGGTTCCCCCGTGGTGGCAGCAATAGCAGCAGTGAGAAGAAGAGAGGGGCAGGAGGCGGGGGACCACCCCCCCGAGAAGGAGTAGTCGAGGGGGCAGAGGCCTGTCCTGCCCCTGAGGAGACCCTTGGCCGGGACAGGGGCTGGCCCTTCTGGATGGGGAGCCCCCCTGATTCTGTACTGGCCGAGCTGAGGCGCAGCCGGGAGAGGGAGGGGTCCACTGCCCCCCCAGCGGAAAATGAGGAAGGAGCCTCAGAGCCTTCACCTGGGGGCATCAAGTGGGGACACCTCTTTGGCTCCCGAAAGGCTCAGCGGGAGGCCCGGCCCACAAACAGGTGAGAGGCAGCCCATGGTGCAGACAGAGGGATTTGGCGAGCCTATCTAAGCCAGAGCACAGACAGAGCCGGAGCCCCGGCTGCTCTCCCCTAGGCTACCGTCCGACTGGCTGAGCCTGGACAAGTCCATGTTCCAACTGGTGGCACAGACAGTGGGTGCCCGCCGAGAGCCAGAGCCCAAGGAGAGCCTGCAGGAGCCACACTCTCCAGTCTTGCCCTCCAAGTCTCCATGGTAAGCCCTGGAAGATAGCACTGGGGGGCTGGGTTTGGCTTTGGGTGGGGTTTCTCTGACCTCCATTTGTTGTTTCCCCAGCGAGGTGAAGGCACTGTGCCATCATCTGGCCACAGGCCCCGGACAGCTGAGCTTCCGCAAGGGAGATATCCTACGGGTGCTGGGGCCAGCTGGAGGAGACTGGCTGCGCTGCAGCCGTGGCCCCGACACTGGCCTGGTGCCTCTGGCCTATGTGACCTTGACCCCATCTCCAAGTCCAACCCCCGGAAGCAGCCAAAACTGAGGCCCTGTGCATGCTGGTGGCCTCAGGGACCCTCATAACCCCTGACTCAGAGCCTGAGAGCCCTTCCCAAGCCCTCTGGCCTGGCCACAGAGAATAGACTGAGAGCTGGGGGCCGTACATCCCTGTGCTCAGTATTAATTACTTCCCATTAACTGTCCCAGTGACCTCATCCAGACCTCCACCCAGGAAAGGAGGGAAGGGATGCAGCACTGGGCTGCCAGGAATTCCCCGGCCCACGTGGGCCAGCCCTTCCATAGGTACAGATAAGCACGTCCCTATGGAGGCCCATTTGCAGGGTTCCCTAGGGCAGGTGGTGAGGAGGAGAGGTGACAGTATTGGGGCCAGCTCCCTAAGCCCCCAAATGTAAATAGGCTGTGGCCAGTGCCTGGTGGTCAGAAGAGGGAGGAGGAGCCCAGGCTTCTGTTTATGTATTTATTTATTTATTTATTACACCTATTAATAAAAAAGGTGCTCGGCCTCCAAACCATTTCTCTTTGTGCCTCCCCCCCCGCCTCGGGCCCACCTCTCTTCCTTCCAAAGGGATGGCTGAGATAGGAAGACAGAGAAGAGAGAACTTGAAGTCCAGGTACCTACACCAGGAGCTGCTTCTGGAGGGTGGTGAGGCCCAGTGCATCATGGGTGAGATGCCTATATGTGTGCCCGAACTGGAACTTATACCCTGTATGGACAACAGAGTCTGTCACTTGTAGCCAGTGGCAAGGAGAGCCATTTATTTCTCAGCCAGTGCCTAAGCCCTCCAAAATCTGGTCCCAACTTCCCACTGTGAGCTACCTCCATATCCTTTTCTGCCCAGTGAGAAAGCCGAACCACATGATCCAAGGGCCCCCCCCATATCAGTTCCAACCCCCCCCCCAAACCACTTCCACCCATTCCGCACACACACACAAATATTCCAGTCCCCTCTGGGGCTATCCTCACCTATAATTAGGTAAAAGGCCCAGGTTCTGAGGGTAGGTCCTAGAAAGTGGAGGGAGATGTTTGGGATCCTTCTGGGGTCTGCTCCCTGAGTACATCTGTCCAAATTCCTGCAGTGCCCGGTTGGTGAGCACAGGAAAGCTGGAGCCAAAGAGGAAGCGGGCACGGGGCACGTAACCAGTGAAGCCTGGGGGGGGATACTGAGTCAGGACCTCCTGGGAGCCTCTCCATGCCTTTGGTCATTAGCCACTTCCTCTCACCTGGCATGAAGAACTTGCGAGGATCTCTGTCATCCATGGAATAGGGGGAAGCCTTGTGAGGAGAAGGTGGCAGAGAAAAAGTAAGGCTATCCAATTCAGCCCCTGTGCTCCAACAGAAGCTCCCTGGGGGGTGGAGCTGGCGGTCAAGCACACATCCCCTGCACCCCGTAGCCATGCTACTCATGGCCGCCCCGCCTAGGCCCGCCCACATAGAGGTCAGGCTCCCCACTCCCAACCCCCCCGGACCCCCTCCAGCCTTCTTGGTCTCACTTGTTCTGCCTCTTGCCCCAGCTCTGGCTCCGGCTTTGGCTCTTGGTCTTTCTCCACATCTTTTTTACCCTTGGCCTCCTTTGGCAGCTCTTGACCCCCTTGTCCCTCAGACCACTGAGTGAAATCACTCAGAGCCTCAGCCCAGACCCGGCTGCAGTTCTTGGCAAAGATGAACTGTGCCTGGGGTACAAAACCTGGGTGGGAGGGGGCAAGAAAGATTTCAGTTAGTGTTTGGGGCACACGTTCTGGGTTGGGGACACCTGTTCAGACTGTCCGTACATACCTGTGTACCCAGGAATCATGCTGGAGCTGAGCCTTTCATGCCCCCGCCTGACAGGCAGGCTTCCCCTGGGAACCTCAGGAGATGCTGGAGGCCGGATGGGAGGCAGAAGTGTGCGATGGGTGGGGGGCCAGGCTAGGCCAGGAAACCCTCGAAGCAGCTGACCGGTCATCTGCCCATAGGTCTGACCCATGCTGAAGCGAAGTAGTGGGCAGTGTCCGGTGTACCTGTAAGCACAGGACTCACCCGCTCACCTCTAGACTCCCCCTGCTCCACCACCCGCAGAGATAGAAACAGAGACCTCTGAAGCCCTGGTTTTTTTTCTGGATTCGGCTGCGTATATATTTGGAGCAGGCATTTCTCAGTTCTCTCTGGGTTTTCAACCCTTCCCCTCTGCTGTTACCCTGTTACCATGGAGAAGACAACACAAAGCTTCGTGGCAGGCCCAGCTACCACTGTCCCCTTGCTCTTCCTTTTCCATCCAACACCATGAATATCTCAGCCTTGGGCCTACCATACCAGTTTGTCTATTGGCCCCTACGTCCTACGTGGCACAACTCCCATGTCCTTATAGCCCTATTCCCAGAAGCAAGCAGGGGTGTGCCCTGGGTAGAAGTCTTACCCTGGGATATAATGAGGGTTCTGAGGGTTCACCCCTGGTATGAAGGTGCTGGCCATAGCCATGGGAATCCAGGCAGTTCCTTTTGTTTCCCTTGGAGCCGAAGCTTGAGGCTGTGTACTGTGTCCAGGGTGGTGGGGTGGGGCCAGAGGCAGGAGGCGGGGCCAAGGGAGGAGAGAGGGGAGGAGGCACTAGGGAGGTAATTGACAGGGCCAAGGCCAGGAGCTCACTGGTCGGTCTACTCCAGAACAAATGCAGTCCACCACGTGGGGGTAGGGAAAAGTGTGAGTGTGGCCTCCCGTTCTCCTGTTCAGGGAGCGAAGGAAGCCCTAAGGTGGGAGGTGAAAGAACAAAAACTGTGAGGTCCATTCAGCTCTATCTTAAGAGGACCACCCTTCCTTCTTAAACCCCCTGCCTGAAGACATGTGGGTGCTAGTCTTTGTGAGTGTTGACTGAAAGTGATGGAATGCCTGGGGAGAGAGGGTCTCTAAGGGGTCCCGGGGGGGCGGGGTCACAGGGAGAAAAAGGAACCTAGAGACCTCTAAGCAGTGACATTAAGTTTCTTTTCAATCATTTTACTTTGACAAGAATTATTTATTGGATATCCACCATCATCTGGATTATCATTCAACAAATAATGCCGTGCTCTGCTAGGCATATTCTGTAGTCAGAAAAGCTAAGCTCCATATGACTTCGGGCAAGTCATTTAGTATCTCTGAACCTTTTACAAAATGTAGATACCAGGACTCACCCTGCTACTGTTGTGAGGCTCGAATTAATATATACAAACGTGTTTTGTACCAGCAAAGACCATGAAGTCAGAAGGAGGGGGTGGAGGGGAAAGATCATGGGCCTGAGGTCACACTATCATGGGCTCCTACTAGCTTGTGGCCTTAACCTTGTCTGAGCAGGCGACTTAACTTCTGCTGAACATGAATTCCCTAAACCCAAATGTGAAAGTTAAAATAACCTAACCTACCAGGGTACTGTTAAGATAAAGTCAGTGTGGGAAAGAATTTACCCCAGCACCTGGCACTCAGCTACTAAAACTTAATTTTCTTCCCTATTGTCTAATATTTTCTCTAAGCTTCTAACACACATAGGAGACCTGTGACTGGTTAGTAAATTCAGTGGATATGGGTTTTTCTACTCTGGGAGTTCAAGGAAAGGAAATATGGTAATGTTGGGTTTTAAGACTAGAGGACAAATTAGAATTTGTTAAGAAAATAATTCATAGGGTGCCTGGCTGGCTCAATTGGTAGAGCATGCAACTCTTGATCTAAGGGTTGTGAGTTCAAGCCTCACACTGGCTGCAGAGCTTATTTATAAAAGAAAGAAAGGGAATAAAGTAAGAAAAAAGAGGAAGGAAGGGCGGGAGGAAGGAAGGGGGAAAAAAAAGAAAAAAGAATTCAGATTCTAAGAGCAGAGAAGTATGGACCCGAAAGAAGAGCTCTCAGAGGGGGGGAGCACGACAGGAACTCAGCTCTGGGGCTGGGTCAGTCAGGGTCAGGCCAGTCCACCTTTCCAGGAGGCAGAACCTCTGCTCTTCTCCCCACCCAAGTGCAACATGCCCAGGCTGACCAAGCACACATCCCTAACTTGTGGATTGCACAGGAGCGCTGGGCCCCAAGGAATACATTTCTCGTTTCTCACTGTTGTGCCAAGGACAGCCTTGGTATGTGGCATTTAGAGCTAGGGTTGTAGACTTGGCTCACTGTTAAGGAAATATGCTAGATGGGGATGGGAACTGAGGGGAGAACCCAGAAAAGCAGCAGTGTGGGAAGGTTAACAACCTAGACTTTTGGATTCTGTAACAAACACTATTGGTTGCACACTGACTACCCATTCCCCTACCCCCATCTCCCTTCTTCCTAACAGAACCTTAATTTTGTTCTGTGGAGCAGCCAAGAGCTTCAGGGAAGCTTGGAGCCAGCCCTGGGAATGAGTCTTGATTAGTCTAAGCCCATCGTAGTGATCCTATTCCCCCTTGTCAGTGATTAGTGAGGCACGGGCTTATGGCATTCTGGACAATAAAAGGGAAGTTGGCCAGGATAAGAGAGGGCCCTAAGAAAAGTAAGCAACTTAAAATGCTCTTTAAAAAGATGCATGACAGGGCGCCTGGGTGGCTCAGATGGTTAAGTGTCTGCCTTCGGCTCAGGTCATGATCCCAGGGTCCTGGGATCGAGTCCCGCATCAGGCTCCCTGCTCCTTGGGAGCCTGCTTCTCCCTCTGCCTCTCTCTCTCTCTCTCTGTCTCTCATGAATAAATAAATAAAAAGTTTTAAAAAAAATAATAAAAAAAAAGATGCATGACAGGGGCGCCTGGGTGGCTCAGTCAGTTGAGGGTCTGCCTTTGGCTCAGATCATGATCCCAGGGTCCTGGGATCGAGTCTCACATCGGGCTCCCTGCTCTGCGGGGAGCCTACTTCTCCCTCTCCCACTTCTCCTGCTTGTGTTTCCTCTCTCACTGTCTCTCGCTCTCTGTCAAATAAGTAAATAAAATCTTAAAAAATTAAAAATAAAGATACATGACAAAAAAAAAAAAGATGCATGACAGGGATGCCTGCATGGCTCAGTCGGTTAAGCGTCCGACTCTTGATTTCGGTTCAGGTCATGATCTCAGGGTCATGAGATCGAGTCCTGCATCTGGCTAGAAGTGGAACCTGCTTAAGATTCTCCCTCTCCTGCCCCTCACCCACCTCAAATAAATAAATCTTTTTTTAAAATGCATGACAAATGAGAGAGAGAGAGATGGACAAGAAGGAACGATGTCCTTTCCTGCCTTTAGAAGTTCTATGGACGTGATGACAGAACTCTGGTAGGCATCATGAAACCTTGTGGGAAGCTAGGCTAACCTGGGGACAGAGCCTGAATACAGCAAGGATGGATAGGAGAGTAGAAAGGCCTGGGTCCTTGATGGGCTACTGAGCTAACCAACCTTTTTATATGAAATAATTTCATTATTGTTAAAGCCAATTTAAGTTTTCTTTTACTTGGAGCCCAAGGCATCGTAACATAAAAATAAAAACGAACAACAACAACAAAAACTAGTTCAAATCTTAGCTTCCCTGGAGATACAGACGTTGGCCAAATTCATCTCACTGAGCCTCAGTCTCTTAGCCATAAAATGAAGACACTAATGTTACTTCATTGAGTAGGACAAAACAGTAGCACAAGATGATACATAAAGAGCCACTGGCCCCAGTGTCTAGCTGATGTTAAGTGCTAACTAAATAGCAATTCCTAGTGTTTGGTTGGAATTTGGTGGGAATGGGAGAAAGGAAAAGAGCTGAGGACAGTAAGAGGTTGGGGATTCAGGTGAAAGTGGTGAAGCTGAGAAACTGAAAGGTCAGCATGTGAAGATGGGGTGCAGATTAGAAGGGAGAGGCTCGTACAAATTCTGCAGGACCAACCATGGCAGTTGGAATCAGTGTGTGAATTACTACAAATTAGGAAAGAGGTTACAGTGAGTCTTAGATTTGTGTTTGTGAAGAAACAGTCCACTCCTCTTGGTGAATAGCCTGTTACTACTGTTTCCATCTGTGTAAACAATATTTCTAAGTCCCTGAAGATCAGAAAGGTCTTCTAACCTGGGAAGGAAGTGAAAGAACTAGCTGAGGGGCCCAAAGGACTGCTCACTGCCTCTGTGCCCCCGATTCCAGGGGACGGTCATCATGGCAACCAAACCCCAGCTTGCTCCTGGTGGGAGCTGCACAGCCGGTGCTGGTGGACAGAAGGTTTCACTGGGATTACACCTACTCACAAAATGAGGGTCCAGTTAGGAAAAAGCCACGTCAGTGCCCTGCCCGTTCCACACAGCCTGTTAGGTCTCCAAAACAGCAGTCTATAACTTCCTGTAGTTCCACCTTTGATCCTGACCAGGAATTGCTGTAAAATTTCATATAAGTACAAATATCAAATCATTATGTTGTACAACTGAAATTAATGTTATATGTCAACTATACCTCAATTTTTAAAAATCAATCAGAATATTTACCAAAAAAAAGTTTCAGATGGATCCCAGATCAGTCATTTGATTGTAAGACAATACTGGGCAAGCATAAATCCCCTCAATAAAGATGAAGAAAAAGAAAATCATGGGGCCCTTGAAAAAAATTCCTCAGATCAAGAGACGACCACAAGTGAAACAAGATGTGAAAAGAATAAACTCCAAACGATTACATACAACACAAAACCTTTTTTAATTAAAATAAATAGATACAATGATTGAATAATTCCACTTCTGGGTATTTACCTGAAGAAAATGAAAATATTAATTCAAAAGATATTTGCATCCCTATCTATGTTCATTGCAGCATTATTTACAATAGTCAAGATATGGAAGCAACCTAAGTGTCCATCGATAGATGAATGGATAAAGAAGATGTGGTATATATACATACACAATGGAATATTACACAGCCATAAATGAAGAATGAAATTTTGTCATTTACAAAAACCTAGATGGACCTAGAGGTATTATGCCAAGTAAAGTAAGTCAGACCAAGAATGACAAATGCCACAGAATTTCCCTTATATGTAGAATCTAAAAAATAAAACAAAACGAATGAACAAACAGAAACAGACTCATAAATATAGAGAACAAAGTGGTGGCTGCCAGCGGGGGTGTGAAATAGGCAAAAAGAAATACACAGGAGAGCTGCAATAAAACTACGTCAAAAGGGAAGCAAGGTAATGATGAGCGTGAGTTTCAGATGCTTACCTCACAGGGAGTGAGACAAACTGGGAGGAGAGACCATACAGTTAGATGTACGTGATTGCCAAGGTCTCAGGTTTTGTTTGGGATAGCGACTTCATAAATGCTTATTATTATACATTAATAATTAACACAGGACCAATGATGAGACTATATCATAAACCAAGGATTATGATAATCCAAATCTGGGCATTTGACATCCAAGCGGTAGGGTGGGGATGGGAGGAATCCCAGTAGAAATGACCAGAAACAGTAGTATTGACTGGTAGATTTTAATATACTCTTCTGTTTTAAGTAACTCAAGAAGTCAAAATATTAAAAAGGAATACCAGCATCTGAATAAGGATGA